TAAGAGGAAGTGTGTGTCTGGGTAAGCATCAAGATTGACTGACCGACAGATGTAAGAGGAAGTGTGTCTGGTGTGCATCAATATAGACTGAAGCTTGTTTTGGTATATACATATACATAAAATAAGAGGAAGTATGATGTCTGCTGAACAGCAAGATGCCAGTCCTTTAAAAATAACTTTTCATATTGATACTATAGAGCAGTGGTGGCTAACATTTTTGTCATTGCATGCCCAAAGCGCTCACACGTGCATTTGCAACACCGCATGCACGCGCACACCCATAATGCAATGCGTGTGCGACCTCCCTCCCCCCACTCCCCCATGCACATACCCCCCGCCCATGGCCTGTTTTGGGCCCTGCAGTCTCCTGAGACCCTGTGTATGGGTGCATCTTCTGCATGCACCCTGCCCCTGCACATGTGCAGCAGAGACCCGAAAATCAGCTGGCCGGCGGGAAGCGCGGGTACATACATGGGGGAGCTGAGCTGGGGCAACAGCTTGCGTGCCACAGCTATAATTTTTATCAACGGATTACACTGGGGAGGAAGTTCCTATAATAGGACTGTCCAAAGCTAGCAACTTTAAGAGCTGTGGACAGAGTTCTCCAGCCAGCCACCCCTGGTCCTTAACCATCCACTTGTAGCAAAAAACTGGGTCAGATATTAGATAAGCAATTTTAAGCTGCTTGGTTATATCCAACTTGTACAGAAGCCAGGGAGAAACCATTTTGGGGACTGAGTGCCATCTTTCCTTTTGCAGTTGCTGTTTGGGTCTTTATAAACTTGAAAGCCGAAGCCTTTGAAGCAGGGATACTCACAATAAAATGTCAAGATGGCTGCCAGGATGATGTGATCAAACAAGAGCCTGCTTTATGTGTGGTGATATGCATTAAAACCACACCATCATGACTGCTACACTCTTTGGATGTCCCTGCTTTGAAGACTTTTAATAGCAACAACACTTACTTACATACCGCTTCACAGTGCTTTACAGCCCTCTCTAAGCGGTGTATAGAGTCAACCTATTGCCCCCAACATTTGGGATCCTCATTTTACCAATCTCAGAAGGATGGAAGACTGCGCCAACCTTGAGCTGGTGAGAATCGAACTTCTGGACTGCCGGCAGCCGGCAGTCAGTTGAAGTAGCCTGCAGCATTTAAACATGTCACTTGAAAACCAAATCATGACACCGTATTTCACTTACAGTGCTTTGGCCATGCTGTGCAGGGAAATTTACTGGAGAAAGCAATTTTGTTTGGAAGAGTTAGCAGTAAAAGGAAACCAGGTCGTCAAAGAACATGGAGGCTGGATACTATCAAAGCTGACTCCAGCCAAAGAGTAGAGAAACTCAAAGAAATAGCACAAGATCGGAAGAGGTGGAGAGACCTGGCTTACAGAATCGCCAAGAGTCGGACTTGACTGAATGGATAACTGTTCTGACTGAGGCTTCCCAAGAGCATGAAGCAAACTCCTTGTCCCGACAAAAAACCCTTTCATTCACATCCAGCAAAGTCTTTCAAGGGAGGATTCACAGACCTTATCTGGCTTGGAGAGCTGACAGGCCGATATCTGCAGAACTTGGCAAGGAGTCTCAGAGAGTCACAGGCCAATTAAGTGAACTAATTGTTTCCTGCAAACTCCACTCCCCTTTCGCTCCTCTTTTATTTCCTCTGGGAGGGGCCATTCACTGTCCACCTTTGGCCTTACTCCCAAGTCGACCCCTGTTCTTTAGCTGTTCCCTTGGTCTGCGCATGCGCACACTGGGAACAGGCTCCAGCTGTTTGTCTGCCTCACTGATATCTAACTCTGTAGGCAGCTGATAACTGGCATATGGCTCTAGCCCTATCTCTGCCTCTGACACAGAGCCCTCATCAGAGTTCAGTTCAGTTCAGTTC